TTGTGTCCCGCGGCGCCTGGCGCAGCGCCTCGGTGTACTCGTCGTAGTACTCCTCGACGGCGCCCCCGAGGCCGGGGTCGGCGAGGGACAGCTGGTCGTGCTTGCTCAGCCGCGCCGTGGCCTCGTCCAGCGCCTATGTGGGAAGGAGCCGAGAAGGCCGTCCAGAAAGTTCGCTCTCAAGCGTCACAAAGCACAGATGCCACGCAGCTCCAGCGCCTGGCGCATGAGAGCCGGGGCGCTCACGCCGCGTCGGCCGCCGCGGCCGCACTCCGCCACCATCTGCTCCACCCTCGCGGAGTGCTCGGGGTGCTCGCGGAGGAAGGACTTCCGGCCCGCCCGCTGCAGCTCTCCGCCGGCCGCCTCGCGGTAGCGCACACTGAAGCCTGCTCCCGCCGGCTGCACGGCCTCGACGATGACGGAGCTCGCGCGCCGCAGCGGCCGGCTCTCCGTGCCGCTGATGTGCCTGCCGTGCACTGAAGAGAACAAACCAGACCGGCCAGAGCAGTCGGCAACGGCGGCCGCGGCAGAGGATGCACCGACCGGGAGCGGCGGTCGGGACACAGGCGGCGATCGAGCTGCGGGCGGAGGCGCGTGGTGTGGGCTCAAGGCGGCGAGGACGACGAGCGCGGGGACTATCATCGTTGGTGAGCCGAGAATGCGCGCGAGGCCAGGGGGCAAGTGGTGCCTCTTGATTTTGAGACACCCACCGGGCACTGTCGGCTTGAGGTGTGAACAGGCTAAGGTTTTTGCTGGCCTTCCCTGGGACCCCGTGTTGCATGTCACTGTCATCACTGTGCGATTTCGGGGCCCGGGGTTGTGCGTTTACGTGAACAGGCTATGTGAACAGGCATTCTTCGTTGCAAAAAGTTGCATTCTTCTTCACGTCTTTTCCCCCCTTCCTTTCGGTGACCGAAAATCGTGACACGACCGGAGCATACACCATACTCGCCAAAACAAGATGAAATAAGTTCTTGCTCGAGATCTTCTGCACAACCACATGTATACACTCACCCACCCGGCGCCTCCTCGCCGTCGTCCACGCGCAGGAGCTCCAGCACGAGCCTCCGCCGCTCAACCGATCCGAGCTCGGACGGCGCGCTGAACAGCGTCGGCGCTCCGTCGGCGCCGGTCGTCGGCACCTGCAGCTCCTCCTCGCTCTGCAGCCGCAGCCCGCTGCCGGCCAGCGAGCGCCGCCACGGCTCGTGCACGTAGTCCCACCGCTCCTCGTACGCGTGCAGCACCAGCGCGCCGCGCGGCGCCGCCAGCGCGAGCATCGCACCGCGCAGCGCCTCCTGCTCCGCCGCGTCGGGCGAGTACAGCACGTCCGCCGCGAGAATCAAGTCGCACCCCGACGGGGCGAGGGCGTGCGCCACCTCGGAGGCGTCCGCCCACGCCAGCGGCGCCGCCGCGACGTGGCAGCCCTCGAGCACGTGCGCGTTGCGCGCGGCGGTGGCGGCGAGCGCGGGCACCGCCGGCGGGAGGTCGGTCAGGAGGACTGACGAAGCGCCAGCGGCTGCCGCGGCAAGGCCGGCGACGCCCGTGCCCGATCCGAGCTCCACGACGTCAGGGCGGTCGGCGAGGAAGCGGCGTCGGCCTTCGGGCGAGAGGAGCAGGGCGGCCAGCGCGGCGCCCGCGCCCCAGACGTGCCCTGCGAGGCCGCGGCCGCCGTCGCAGTCAATCTCAATCGAGTCGGAGGAGGCGGCGGAGAGCGAGTACATGCCGTGGGTCTGAAACGCCTCGCCGGTGCGGAGGAGCCTCATTTCTTCGCGCGACGGAAATAAGAAGGCCGGCGTGCGCGCGCGCGCACGCGCGCGCACACTCAAGAGGACGCGCTCCGGGTTGACTGCCGTTCACCCCGCGGCGCTCACTCTGGCCGGGGAGCAGGCTGAGCAGCTCCGAGGTGGCGGGCAGCTCGAGGCCTTGCTTGCCGAAAAAGAATGTAGGTTCTTTATAGAACAGGAGAAAAGACGAGCACTTTTAAACACCCAGCTCTCTCTCACAGCACACAGGCGAAAGAAGCCGCGAGAACAAGGGACCGGCAGGTGGCGGCGTCGCAGGACGAGGCAGAAGAGAACAACGCGACAGAGGAGGAAGTGACAAGGGAGAGAACGACGAGGGTTGCTGCCCACCCTATGACCAAGATATTTTATAATTCTGTTGCGGGCGGGTGTTGGGGCGCTGGCCGCGCTGCCAGGGCGGATGCGGGATATGGGGGAACGGTCGCCAATGGCAATGCAGTCATCGCGCGGCGAGAGCGCCGGGCTTTCAAGTACAACTACAAGCTCCTCAAGCGGCACATGCACATGCACATGCTGAGAGGGAGCCAGAGGCCGTCGGCGGCCGCCGACGGCGACAGGGATCTCGGATCGCGATGAAAATTTCAACTTTATACACGCGCCGTCGCCGTCGGCCGGTCAGTGAGGTCAGAGGTGCGATCGTCGTGCGGGCCGAAGGCTTTTTCAAGTATTCAACCTCTTTTCCTTACGGCATCGTTCGTTTTGCGTGTCAGGTGACGACCCCCCCCCCCCCCCCTCCCCCCCCCAATACAATGTTTGATCTTGATAGACACAGGCGAAGATCATCATGATCACTCAATGCACTGCCTCCAAACAACTCCGAACTCGGCCCCACATCGCGGAAGCCCCTCACCCGCACGCCACCGCCGCGCTGCCTCCCAACCTGTTGATGAGCGCCCGCTTCGCCACGCGCACTCCTGTGGGGAAAGTTCCGGGAGGGTTCGTGGAAGGCGCCGAGCGTCCTGCTCGCGCGGCGGAGAGAGGAGTCGCGCCGTACGAGAAGCGAGACGACGGCCACATCGCCTCCAGCTCGGCCGCCGCCTGTGCATCGGGCCCCTCTTGTGGGAAGAAAGTGCGGCAGCGTGCGGGCGTCGGGCAAGTCTGTGGATGGATGGCTGTGAATGGAGGTGGAGTGCCCTGGAGGCTCGGCCTCATCTCGGCGAAACCTCGGTCAAATGACGGCTGCTGCATCTCGGCTGTAGCTCGACCCCAGCTCGGCTGCCTCTCGGCTGCCTCTCGGCTGCCTCTCGGCTGCCTCTCGGCTGCTTCTCGGCTGCCTCTCGGCTGCCTCTCGGCTGCATCTCGCCTGCAGCCGCAGCTCTCTTGACGCCATCAGGCGCAGCGACGCGCAGCGTTCGGCGGAGAGCGGCGCCGCGACGACCTGTTCACAGCGGTTGACTGTGAAGAGGAGGAGCGACCACCTCCGCTGGCGAGAGGAAAGGGCCGCGGCCATCTCGGGCACTCTCTCGGGCACTCTCGGGCACTCTCGGGCACTCTCGGGCAATCTCGGGTAATCTCGGGCACTCTCGGGCAATCTCGGGTAATCTCGGGCAATCTCGAATACTCTCGACCACGATCGCCGCCAGCGCCGCGCGGACAGCGCCTTCCTTGGTCAGCACAGGCTGCCGCTCGTTCGGGTCGACGAACCTGGTGGTTGGTTCTCCGCATCGATTATGTCGTCAAACCAACGGCTAAGTGTTCGCTCGCTCGGGCGACGAACCTGGTGGTTTGGTTGTATTCAAGGAGTCAGTCAGTAGCGATCCGGGGCCTTACCCGCTTGCTTCGGTCTCCAGTATCCCAAACGATCTCGGGCAATCTCGGGCAATCTCGGGCAATCTCGGGCAGTCTCGCGCAATCTCGCGCCTCTCCAGTATCCCCAGCGCCGCGTCGAAGCAACTGTCACCGTCGCACCGCTCCGCACCGCGCAGCAACACCAGCGAGGGAGCGCGGGCCGCCGTCGCCGCCGCCAAGTGCCTCTCCAGCCTCTGCTGGCAAGGGCCACCGTCGCCGGCGGCGGCGTCGGCGGCGGCGGCGGCGGCGGTGCAATCCTCGACGGTCATCTCGAGCACGCCTACAAAAAGAAATCGCGGTGCCGCCCGCACTTCTTGCCTTTGGCGCACTCGCCGTGGCCTCGCGCGCACCTCCCATATCTCCCCATATCTCCCCATATCTCGCCGTGGCCTCGCGCGCACCTCCCATATCTCCCATATCTCCCCTATCTCCCCTATCTCCCCATATCTCCTCATATCTCGCCGTGGCCTCGCGCGCACCTCCTCTCGAGGCGAGGCTCCGGAGGGAGCGAAGGAGCTGCGCCGCCGCGCCGCCTGCAGGACACGTCTCGGACATGTCATGGGCGTGTCCTGGACATGGCAGCAGCCGCACAGCCGCACCGCCGCCTTGCGGGTCGGAGAGCAGAACCAGCCTATTCACAGCAGAGAGGTGTGAAGAGACGCCGTTCACAGAGTCCGCAGTAGCGAGTCGGAGAGCAGAATCAGCCTGGAGGCCGCGAAGCTGCGAGGGTCGGCGGCGCCAGCGCGCCAGGCATCCGCCCAGTCCCGCACCTACGCGTGCATGCGCACGTGCTGAATTCATTTGGGGTGTGAACACGGTCTCGCGCAGAGCTCTCAGGGCACCGCGTGGACACGAGGGCTGCAGAGACAGCGGAGTACAGCGAAGTGCAGCGGAATACAGCGCATACGAATACGGTGCATACAGCTGAACGCAGCGGAGTGCGTGTCTTCTCGAGCGCTGGCTGGAAGACAAGAGCGCGTGTTTCGCTTCTAGGCTTTCTGACGGCGGCCGCCGACGCCGACCCTTCTCCAAGTAGTCTGCCAACCAACGCGCCGTCGAGAGGAGGCACCACCGCCGCCCCTCCTGGCCCTGCGGTGTGACTACACCAGCGTCAGGGTGTGGGGGTACGGAGGCGGCAGAGCACGAGATATGGGGAGATATGGGGAGATATGTGGGAGATGTGGGGAGATAGTGCCGCGTAGTCAGGCCGCCGAGCACAGCGAACACGGAAGACAGCGGAATGCTGTTGATTAGTCGGCACTGCAAGGATTGCCGCATCTCTAAAACTCCTCCTCCGCCGCCGCCGCCGCCGCCGCCGCCGCCGCCGCCGCCGCCGCCGCCGCCGCCGCCGCCGCCGCCGCCGCCGCCGCCGCCGCCGGCCCGATGGGCCAGGGCCATGGCGAGGGCCAGCAGGGCCAGGCCGGCAGTCCATGTCAGCTGAGGCGGCGACCCCGCCTACTCTCGCGGCCAATCTCGCCTGATCTCGCCAAATCTCGGCTGGCCTCGAGGTTTGGCCGCTATGCCCGCCCGCTCAAGGCCTCTCGCGGCTACCGCCGCCGCTCCCAGCGCGATGGCGGGGGCGAGCGGGACGAGCTGCGCGGCCAGCCTCGCCGCCAGCTGCGCCACGCCTGCTTCACACCCCGATGCTGTGAAAAGACTGCCCGCCTCTCGTCTCGCCTCGCTGCTTTCTCCAGCGGTAGTGCACCGGCGGCCGTCCGGCGAAGGGCTACGGCGACGGCAGCGGCAGCGCTGCGCAGCTGCGGCAGCGCCTGCTGTGCTGCGCCCGGCGAGACCGCCGCCGACGCGCCGCCGTCGGCGGCCGCAGCACACCCGACGAGGCAGCCGCAAATCAGCGCTCCAGCGAGGAGGGCGAGCAGCGAGCGGCGGAGGCACGGCCGCTTGGCGGTGGCGGAGGCGGACGTGCCGGCGGGTGGCGGAGCGGCCTCCCGAGCCGCCTCCACCGCCTCCGCCGAGGCAGGCGCGTCGGCAGCAGCGCGGACCTCCGGCGGCGGCGGAGACGCCGGCTGTCGGCCTGCCCTGGTGCGGACACGAGGCGCTGCGGGTGCCGACTTGGGACCGGCGGCAGCCGCAGCCGCCGCGTCCGCCGCCGCTTTGCTGCGACGCCGGGTGGTGACGCCCGACGACGACGCGGGAGACTTGTTACCGCTCTTGCGCGGAGGCATGGTGCCGTTGTTCGCGGCCAGAAACAAATGTGTTTGACAGCCAGAAAAGAATTTCACAACAAAAGGCTCACCCTTTCACGATCCAGAAAAGAATTTGACATCGCAGAAATGTGGTCCTTGCGCGAGGAATGCTCGATAAACTCGAGGGACCAAAATACGCGGAGAGGAGAGCGGAGTTACGCAGAAAGGCGAGAGAAGCAGCGAGAGCAAGAGATCGGCAGACGACAGCGGCGTCTCAGAACGAGGCCGAGGAGAGCGATGAGTCAGGGGAAGACACAGCAGGAGAGAGAACGACGAGAGTGGGAAGAACGCGAGGTGGCATGAAGGTCGCTGCGAGAATTGGTGAGAAACTGCGGAGAGAGATAGGAAGTGGCTTGTCACTACCTGCACTTTGTGCAAGACATCAAGTTCTGACCCTCAACAGCTCCTATATTAGGGCTATGCAGCTGACTCGACTCCAGTGGACAGGAGTAAGAGAGAGAGGGAGAGGGAGTCGCGATTAGTACCCCCGCTCCCTCGGTCTGAGCGCAATGGCGCAGCGGATGGCCCGCGCAGGGTAGAGTTGGGCCGCTATACGCCGTGGGCAGCCGGTGCGGGAGAGAGGTCCTCACAAACACAGAGGTCCTCACCAGACAGAGGTCCTCATAGTCCTCGTGTGCGTGAGGACCTCTCTCTTGTCGTGAGGACCTCTTCTCCTTCACCATTGTGTGTATTTGCCCTGACCTCCCAGCCACTACAGACAGTGCTCAATCTAAGGGTAGACTGAGAGGTAGACGTGGCTCCTGCAGCCACGCTAAAGCTCCTCGACTTCTCGGCCTTTGACCTCGGTCAGAGTATCTCGCTCCTCGGGATGTGCAGACTATACTGATATGCGAAGTAAGTGATGGATTGTAACTGTGCGAGGCTGGCCTGAGAGAATTCTCGTAGAGCTCTACCTAGGTACCTTCTCCTGGGAAAGTTATTTAGGAGCACCCCGGTTTCGGACATCGGCGAACGATTGGACGGTGCCTCAACTGAGCCAAATGGAGCCCTGTGATGTGGGACCTCACTCCCAGAAGCTTGGAGCTTCAGGCCGCGACCACGTGGCTAGGTGGACACTAAAGTGCCATTTTGGCGCCAAATCTTGGCGGGAATGACACGGTGCTTGGCGGGA